TTCATGGTAATTCATTTGATTCTCTCAAAAAAAAATATTATATTGCTATGTAATTTATTCCCACCTCCCAAGTGAGGAAACAGAAGTTGAAGTACTTATCCAAATTCCATCAGGAACACAAGAAGCCTAACTTCATCACTAAGCGTCAGTACTTTGCACTATCCTACCTTTTATTAAACATTTTAAATTTGTTTTGATGTTGGCAAACCAAGCACACACAGCAACAGTGTTGTGCTAAACAGCCTTTACAGAGATTGAATTCACCAAACCCTAGATGATCATCACAGTAAAAAAGTGATTTAATTATGGAACCAGGGCATTTTGGACATAAGAGAAAATGGAGAGACCCTTTTGGACCTTATCTAATTCTTCTTATCAATTGAATCAGCCCCTCTAAACTAAAATTTTCTTTACTAATTGTAGATATCTCATCACATTATCCAGCTTGGTAAGTCAACACTTCTAATATTTTTTAAGATGAAACTAAGATATCATAATAGTTTAACTGATCTCTGCTTTTAGCTCATCTCCCTTACGACAGCAAGAGGAATCTTTTTTTYCCACCCTTACCTAGATGTCATGCCTTTGCATTAAACTTTCAATGGTTTCCCCCGTTGCCTGGTCAGTGGTTCTCAGATTTTTGGATTTATCATGGTGATAGTTGCATAACTCTACATTTACTAAAACCAATGAACTCTGCATTTTAAATAGGTGAATTGCATGACATGTGAATTGTATCTCAACAACTGTTTTTTAAAAATGTATTTGGGGATCAAAGCATCTGGAAGCCATGGCATATTATGTGTAGCACACCATTTGGAACTATCAGCAATTTTACTAGTAGAAAATAAAACCATAATATATGTTTATATATTATATAGTATATCTATAATATTCACAATATATTTGTAACATTAAAATTTACTACARCTATACCTACAAAAACAGTAGTTATCTAAGATTATTGAGAATTTCTAACATTTGTCTTTCATATTAAATTGCCATTTATTGGGCTGGGGATATAGCTCAGTAGTAGAGCACTTGCCCCTTTTTTTCAACCTGKTGTTAGATAATGATGTTTCCACTTTCTCCTCTTCCTACATAGCCTCACTGCTGTCCTATTAAGTAGCTAAGAACTTTCCAGGCACATCCTGTGTCTTTGTTCACACTCTTTCCCTTTCCTGGGATATTTCTCCAGAAGAATCCTCTTCACGTAGCCCTTCAAGGCTCACCTAACTTTCTTCTTACCTCCCAGCTTCCCTTATCCAGGAAAGCAACATCAGAGCAGGAAAAAGTATACATCGTACTAAATGCTGTATTTCTAGCACAAAAATATAGCCTGAAATATAGAAAATGCTCCCTAAACAGCCCATTCTGTTTCTTCAAGTCTGGATGCACAGACCTATCCTCAACACATGGTGCTGAGATTGTTTTTCAGTGACTCCACTCTCAAAGCCTCCTTCCCTGGCCACCAGTGAGCTCTTGAAGGCTGAAATTATGTTCTTATCACATACTAGATGCTCAATAAATAGTCAGTATATTTAGCCAGGCAAGATAGTAATTCTAGCTACTTGGGAGGGTGAGGAGGATCACTTGAGCCCAGGAGTTGAAGACCAGCCTGGGCAACATACTGAAAACCTGTCTCTTTAAAAAGAAAAAAAAAATCTGGTATATTTAGATAAATTGAAAATATATTGTATCTGGCACCATGGTGCATGCCTGTGATCTCTGGAGGCCAAGGCAGGAGGATCACGAGTTCAAGGCCAGCCTTAGCAATTTAGTAAGGCCCTAAGCAATTTAGCAAGACCCTGTCTCAAAATAAAAATTTAAAAAGGGCTGGGAGTGTAGCTCAGTAATCAAGAGCCCTTGGATTCAATCCCTGGTACAAACAAAGAAAAAAGTAAAAAAAGAATAAACTTACCAGAACAAGAGCCAAAGGGATTTCTAAGCTGAAGAAATCCAGCCCCATGACAGAAGGTAGGGCATGGGCACCCTAGTGGGTCTGGTGTGTGGTTTCAGTGTCCAGCTCCTGGCTGGAAGGCAGAAGCTGGCAGGGAAAGGGAAGAGTGTGCTGGTCCTGGCAGCCCTCCTAGCCTGGATATTACAACAGGAGCAACTGGATCAGATCCGTTTCACCCCACCCCACCCCGTCCCTTGCCCCCAACACACAGCTTGTTGACTCTATAAGAGAGTTGACCGGATCAGGTGTGACATGTGGACAAAAGCCAGTGGGACATGAGGAATCCCGATGAGAACCAGCTTGAGACCTAGGACTGTGTTCTAACTAGTGAGCAATCAGCCAACACTAGTGCTATATAAACTACACACTACGCAGAAGTAAGAATGTGGTAGAACTAACAAAGCTGGTTTCCTGGGAAGGCCAGTATCATTCACTTTTTTTTTTTTTTTTTAATTTTTTTTTTTTTTAAGAGAGAGTGAGAGAGGGGAGAGAGAAGAGAGAGAATTTTTTTTTAATATTTATTTCTTAGTTTTCGGCGGACACAACATCTTTGTTGGTATGTGGTGCTGAGGATCGAACCCGGGCCGCACGCATGCCAGGCGAGCGCGCTACCGCTTGAGCCACATCCCCAGCCCTTTTGTTTGTTTATTTTCATTTTTATTGAGCTGTTTGTTTTTTATGTTTATTGTTTTTTTTGTTGTTGTTGTTGCAATCTTTTTTTATTTTTTAAAGAGTCCTGGCCTCTGTGAAGCCCTCYCTGATTTCCCCAGCCTAAAAGGGTCCCTTTCTTTCTCTCTTTCCTCCCTCTCTCTCCTCTCCTTCCCCTTTCCTTCCTTGCCCCTCCCTTTCCCCTCCTCTTACCCCTTCTCTCCCCCTCCTCTGATATCTTCCAGAGTGTCTAATTCCTGGCTTAGGACACTTCGCAACTTTTGGCTTATGCTGCAGTTGTTTGTCGTCATTCCTGGTACCACCTTTTTTCATCTTGCCTAATTTTACAAGCTTTTATCTGATACAGTGCAGCTTTAAAAGGCACCTCGGGAGCAAGACAAGGTACAAAGCAATCAAGAATAAATATTATTAAATGTTTGCTTGCTTTGGCAGCACATATACTAAAATTGGAATGATACAGAGAAGATTAGCCTGGCCCCTGCACAAGGATGATACTCAAATTTGTGAAGCATTAAAATAAATATTGTTAAATATTAAGTTTCAAGAGTCGAAAAGTCACGTGCTGCTCACCTTTACAAATCCCACACTATTATGCAAAATATTTGTTGTTGCCTAAATTCATATAGTGATAACAATATGGCAAAAATGTTCCTTGACTTTTAAAAGAAGTTGACATTTAGTATTTATATAGATGTCTATCTTGAATTCTTTTAAATTTTCATCCCTCTAGAGCATGCCCCCACTATCTGTCATTTTTTTTTCTTCTTTTCTAGATTTGGTTTGCCAAATTTTCATCCTTTAAATAGTAATATTTTTGGAAAGAAGCCCCTTCCCCCCCCCAAAAAAAAAAGATAGGGTTTAGGGGTGTAGCTCAGTGGTAGAGCTGCTAGTCCAGCATGTGTGAGGCCCTGGGTTGGATCCCCAGTTCTGCAGAAAGAGGGAGAGAAAAGGGGATGAGGAAAAGAGGTTGACTTACTTCAAAGTATAAAGTAAAAATACAAAGAAATAAAAATATTTGACACTCACTGAGACACAATTTTATAAAGAACATTAGCCATAAGTATAGTATAATGAATTATAAAGGTTTGCTGACCTTTTAATGGGGGAAATAACCAAAGAAACAAAAATATTTTAAAAACACAGCATTATAAAAAATTAAGAATTTCCACTTGAACATTTAATTTTTCAGCCCTCTTTGAATTTACATTCAAAAATCTCAATGTTGTGCTGCAGTTCATAGACTAGCCATTCTCTCATTGCAAATATCCACAACGATCAGTCCCTTATACACAATTAAAAGGAACATTTCTAGTTAGTTATACAGTACTTCAAAGCTAATATTTAATCCTAATTGGCATCAAGTTTAGTGCAAATAAAATTATATTTAGCAGCTCAGGGAACTTCTGCTGGGGAGGAATTTTTCTCTTAACCCTTATGACTTCCCCAGAGTGAAATCATTCCCCTCTTCTATTAATACCAATGTTGGCCATTCAAACCTATTGAAACTACTACTAATAATTCTGTGGCACAGGGAGTTTCCCTGAAAGATGGTTTCAGTCACTATGCAAATAAGCCACATGCTTTATACATTTGGAAAGTTCCCTTCGGGTTGATACAAAAAGCAGGGCCTAACTGACATTCATTTCTCTATAGGGAGTAGAATCAAGGTTGAAGTTGGACCTTACCCACCTACTTCTCTCATCAGTGAAGAAACCCAAAAGAGGGAAGGCACTCATTGCTCTGTGCATTAGCTATCACAGGTTCAATTGAGAAGATTCAGGCCCAAGGCTGAGGAATCTCTTAAATCAAATTGTACTCACCAGTAATAATTTTATTACACTGATTTGAATGCCAAGAAAACATATCAAGAAAAAGAAAGCCATCTGATTTCAAACCTGGTGCTTTCCATGCTCTGCCAAGATTTATTCTCCAAATTAATAGATGCCAGAGAGCTACTAGCCAGAGAGGGGTTCCCCCCGCCCCCCACCCTGAGTTTTGGCATTCTTTGAATTGCTTCTTTTTTTGTTGGACATCTGTTACCTTTCTAGCCAAGGCCTAGGATTGCTGCTTCAAAAAAACAATGTAGCTTACTGTGCCTAAAATTTCCACTGGCAAAGGAAATGCTAGAATACCTCCTGAGTTGTGAGTGCTGGCTTTGCCACTTGGCTAGGCTTCACTGGTCCAAGAACATGAGCCTTCACAAAGCTGAGATGGCTCCTAAGGTCCACTGTGCTGACAGGAAACCCAGGGAGGCCATTCCACTTGACCTCTCTCTTTACCAACCCCTCAGCTGCTTTTCTATTCTCCCTGAATTCTCTGAGTTCTCAAAGATGAGAGTGTGGTTGCTGCATGTTGGAGAGACGGGCCCACCTCAGTCACTACACTCTTCTACCCGTGGAGTAGGGAATTTCTCATACTGGTTGGCCAGTTTCCATTTGTTGTGGTGACTTTTGAGTAGTGCAGCTAAGGAAGTCTTTCGGGTGACATTTCTAGATACTTCCCGGCTCTTGGCCTTCCTAGTGGGGGAAGAGCTTTGGACTAAGGGATATACAGAGAAAATGGGCTTGCCCCGAGGAGCTCCCAGCAGCTGCCATATTTCCCCAGAGGTATTACTGGTCAGATATTGCCATGGTTTCTTTCCACTGCTGTCCCGGACATTCACCCGAGAAGACAACTTTTGCACTAGCAGTTTGATGACTCCCTGGCGGCCATGAATGGCTGCAAGGTGTAGTGGGGTATACCCACAACTAGACTTCACATTTACATCAAGCACGATCCCTGTCTTCCGTGCTCCTGAGACTAAGTCCTGAAGGGCCTCAACGTTGCCATGTTTGGCTATCCAGTGCAAGGCAGTGTATCCAGTCAAGAAGTCTTTGTGCAAAGCCAACTGAGGGTCCTCCCAAAACAGTGTCAACACCTGAATCCAAGAGCCACTGGCAAGCTTCACAATCCATTCATGCTCCCTGGCATCTAGGGGGACCAGTGATGACTTGTGCTCAGAAGTTCTGTGGGGTACCAAGGTGGCAGACCCATTCCCACTGGAGACCCTAGTGTCTGCCAGTTTCAGTGTCAAAGCTGCATCCACCCTTGGGCTGGGCATTGTTCCTGCCTTGGAAGGTTTCCTCAGGCRTGGTGGGCGCCGACTCCTTTTCAGCAAGTCCTCATCAAGGTACTCTTCATCAGAGGAAGACAGTTTGGCCTTGCCTGCCCTAAAGCTCCTTCTGAGAGACCTCCTTAACTTGGGAGCTGGCCAAGGCAAAGGCTCCTGGGAGTGGTGTGGGGGGCCTTTAGCCCCTGTTGGAACTTGTTGAGAGGTATGACCGTTCCCTCTGTTCCTGAGGCCCTGAGGACTCTGAGGGCTGCCTTTCTTTGGAGGTACAGATAGGCCCCCAGCTGGATTCCTGAGCTTTCCCCAAACTGGGGTTCCCAAGGCAACTTGTAACCCCTCTTCAGAACCCCCAGGGGACTCTTTGGGCCCACTGCTGCTCTCCTCACTGCCGTGGCTCTCCTGGTCCACAAAGTCATCCAGATCTTGGAGGGATAACTGACAACGAATGCTACGAAAGACAGCCTGTGGAGGATTCCCTGGCCAAGAACCTGGGGACTCTTCAGGAACCACAGGAAAGAGAGAATGAGAGAAATGAGGGAGCTCTGACAGCGGTGATTTAGTCTCTAAGTTTGGCTCCAAGGGAATCCTGAGAAAGTTGTCCGGCAGCACTGACCAGGCCCGAATGGGACCCTGGTCCCTGGTCTGGGGCATCTGAGGGTGTCTGGCTACCCATTCTCGAGTGCGCTGCTGCTGCAGTTGCAGAGTGGAATGGTGCAGGGAACCTGAGGTCAACAGCTCTGGTCGGTCTCCTGGAGGGGTGGGGCGGGGCAGGAGAACTGGAGGAGATACCCTGCACTCAGCAGCTTCGGTGATGGCGGGAGGCGAGCGGGGCGTTGCAGGCACCCGCGTGGGCTCAGCCCGAGCGCCTTCTGGCAGCTGCCTTGGAGCCCCGCAGTCATCCTGAGCAGACTGAGCTCGCGCGGGCTTCTCCTTGGCAGTGGCAGGGTCCGGGAGTGCTCCGAGTGGCGGCACTTCCGGGAGCTCCCCCAGGCTGTTCTGGAGACATTCCCAGCAGCAGCGGCCCTGCGTCTCCGCCGCCGCGCACCTGGCTGCAGCTGCCGCCGTAGCCACCGGCACCGGAGCCCTTCGGCCGGGGCTGAGCCTCTGGCCGCCGTCTTCCCTGGTCGCTTCCCGGGTTCTTCTGGGCGGGAGTCCATTGCAACCTGCGACCTCGGCTAGGGCTGCGGTACCTGCTGGCTCCTCCTCTGGCTCCGTGTCGCGCCGCCGCCGCCGCCGCCGAGACTGCGGTGGCTGAGGCTCCCCGCGGCGTGCCCTCGGCGGGGAGCTGGGCGCAGTTCCCCTTGCAGGGGCAGCGGCAGCAGGCGGCTCGCGGGGTCGCTGCAGCCCCTCCTCCCCCAAAAGGTCCCTATACCTCCTCTTGAGCACGACGTACTTGGTGCCGTCGGGGTCCTGGCGCACTGCGGCGACCGAGTTGACGAAGCCTTTGAAGAGCTCGCGGCGTTGCTGGTGCTGGCTGGGGGACGCGTCGGGGTCTCGGATAAAGCTCTTGAAGTGGCTCAGCAGGGCGGCGTTGGTCACTCGGCCCCCAGCCTGGCACAGAAAGTCCAGTAGTGCCTCCTGGCTCAGCTCTAGGGCCATCGCTGCCTTGCCCCTTGCCCACGAGGAGTCTGCGTCCTGCCCTYCCAGTGGTCTTCCCTTACAGCAGAAACCCTGGCCGCGAGAGTGTCACCTGCGCCCTGGGCGGCACCACCCGCCTCCATCAGCCGCTGAGGCCAGCGCTGCCCGCAGCCAACGAGCGCTCCAGGAGGGCCGAGGGTCCTCAGGGGGCAGCCCCCAGGCTGAGCCCCAGCGCGCAGCCCGGATGGGAGAGGGCGGCTCCCCCGCGGCCCCAGCGCAGCGGGGGCCCCTAGCTGCGAGTCCCCGCACCGAAAGTTCCCGGKATAGGTCGGAGTCGGTTTCACCTGCCCTGGAGACGCCTCCTCCCTGGCTCTGGGGGAAGGGCCCGGCCCGCCTCCTCCTGTCCCTCCGCCCTCTGAGGTCTCCCCCACCCATCCCGGRTGAGTCAGGCTGGTCAGAGGCGCGGAGAGCACCGGTAGGTGAGGTCGGGAGTGAACCTCGGCGGGCAGCGAACCTCTCGGCAGGACGCACGGTCACTCCCGGCCCGGGAAGTGGAAAGCAGGTAGGCGACCGGCCGCTCCTGTGAGTCCCCGCCTGGCAGGAAACAAAAGCAATTCAAGGTCTGTTCCTGCCCTCTCCATGAGCAGTTCAAGTTATGACCCAAGTCGATGGGGACGGCAGTCTGCGATTTCTCCAGAAGGTGCCTTTCCGTTTTACCAATGTCAGGGAATAATTTCAGATTGGGGGGGGGGGCAGTACTGAAATCCAGGGAACTTACATTGMGTCCAAACCAAATCTTTCTTGATATGGAGATACAGATGTGGCTGCTCCTTGGGCTACGGGCTTTATGGTGTCCAAATACACCAACCGGTGTCTGTACKGAAAAAGAAATGACTGAAAATTACAAGCTAATATTAGTATCTGCCTTTCTTTTTCCTACATAATTTTCTCACCTTAAGATGCAAGGAAAAAAAAAACACAAAAAACTGTTGAATTATTTATTGTCTTGGGAGCCCAAATSAATAGGAATTGTGTCTCAGCCAGTTCTTTAGGATTATTTTGTTTATATTTAGTCTAAAATGTGTGAACAGAAGAGATACGCATTGTGTTTAGGTTGGTTTAACTGGCGAAGTCTTTGCTTTTGTAATGTAAGTTTCCCTCCATGCTCAAAATGCTGAAAATACAGACAGACTAGGCTGATTTGACCCCACTGTTCCTAATGTTAGGTAGAATGAAGGCTTGACTCTAATTCTCCATTGAAGGACTATGARCTGAACCCAAATCAAGACCATTTGTAAAGAAGAGCTGACTTTTGTCATTATCCTCTTCAAGATGGTAGAATTACAGCACTCTCCCGGACCCCCAACAGCTGTTACCTTTTCTCTGTCCAMGTGTTGATCTATTTAGTCTTTGAGATCCTGTGTGCCTCTCCCTGTTCTTTATCAGCCCTGTTCACAAGCCCACTGAGCTTTTCAGTGTTTAATCAACATATTTACCTATTTTCACTCCAAGCCCTCTCGTTCTTTAGGTCAGCCTTCCTATTTCTTTTCAATACAAGACAGTCTTATTTACTTTTCAGCCCCAGCTGCCACAACACATGTCTATTTCATAGAATCCTCTCATAACTGCTGCATTTCTCATTATAAATTCTCCTCTCCTGTCACTTGACACTCTTSTCTCTTGTACTCTTCTCGTTTTTCCACTTTTCTTCCTTTTCCTTCTGTTTTGCATGAGCCCCAGTTGTTTTTGCCAAGATAAAGTATTGAAAGTATGCTGGCCCTACARTAGTCAAGATATTTTAGCATGGGCCAATCTTAGTAACTGCCATATAGGCCACATTAGCTGAGCTTTATTTAAAATCTCCAACACTACCCCTGGTACTTTTCCATGAATGAGTTGGAATCTCTGGCTTTAAATTATCTCGGTCAGAAAGAAGAAATGGAAATATTTATTTATTTATTGAAGTACTAGAGATTGAACCAGAGTCTGACAACATGCTAGAAAAGTGTTCTACTATTGAGCTACATCCCAAATTTCATTTTTTGTCTATTTTTGGTATTTTCTAGAATTTAAATCCAATAGTGGGTTGAGGGGGGAAATTGTTTCCACAGATATCTCCACATAACATCAAGCCTTTAGAATAGTTATTAAAATAAATGTTTTGTATTAAACTTCAGCTTTCTTTTGTATTTATTTCCTAGTGTTGAGTCTTGGTGGAATTAACTGAGGTATAACCACATGTAGGGCAGGAGGGAGTCCAAATGGAAAACACAGGTAGGTATTTTAGAGTGGCCAGGTTTTCTTTTCTTTCTTTCTTTCCTTTTTTTTTTTTTTTTTTGTATCCAGGATTGAACTCAGGGGCACTCAACCACTGAGCCACATCCCCAGCCCTATTTTGTATTTTAGATAGGGTCTCATTGAGTTGCTTAACACCTCGATTTTGCTGRAGCTGGCTTTGAACTCTCTGGGATTACAGGCATATGCCATAGCACCCAGCTTCTTCGTAGGTACTCTTCAAAACATCAAAATAAAAGACTTGCTGCAAAGTCATAGAGAGAATGAGGCTTGGATTTGAAGCACTTAAAAAAAATTAGAGGAAGTGGGGGGTCATCAAAGATGTGATTGTTGAAATCAGGATGGAGTTACTTGCAGATAGAAGGTCTGCAGAAGTAGAAAATAGGGAACAAAAATTAAATTGTCCAATTGCTTCAGATTTCTGGGCACCCTGGTGGTTAAGCATCCAGACCTCTCCTCCTCTTTGTCTCTCTTGTTCCAGGATAAGGGGATTCTAATTAAGAATGTTCTGTACCTTATAGCAGGAAGTATTTTCCTGCTTCCCTCATATCTAGTTCATGATTTCCAAAAATATTTATGGAACAATTATTTTGTGCCCACACTGCTGGAAATGGCTATAAAGAAGAAAGTGAGCTTGAGAACTCTCTTTTACATTGGGAGCAACAGACAAGATAAATGTCATGAACCTGACCACTAATACTTTCTCTTGGCAAGTGATTTAACAAAGGCATACACCATGTTTGGAAGTTGAAGGGAAGTGTTAAAGAACTGAGGCTCAGCTTGGCAGATCAGGACAATTTTTCAATAAGAGGCATCTTTGAGTAAAGGTGAGAAAAACCTTTAAAGTAGAAGACACATTGGTGCAAAGGCAAAGAGATCTGACTTGGCTTAGCTTAGCTGTTTTGGGGAACTAACTGAAAAGAGACCTGCTTGGCCTGCTTAGCCTTAAGGAAGAGAATGTATGATGTTCAGGAAACTGTAAAAGTAAGGCGGCAGTCAGAATGAAAGTTTTAGGGGAAGGAAAACAGAGCCTTTGAAGAATTTTCCAGAGGTTAGCAAGCTGACCAGATTTGGTTTTTAGAATGGCCTCCTGGAGGTAAATATTGGTTTGAAATCATGAACAATATTAATGAGTAAAAAGAACACATTGCAGAGCATTGCTGTATTTAACCAAACCTAAGACAGTACTGATTGCATGACACATTTTGATTTTAGAGATATTTAAATGAAAAAGTACTTCTTAAAATAAAATTACAGCATGTTTAATRAGATTCTATTTTTATTATTTTTACTTTTTATTGTAATGGGGATTGAACCTAGGGGTACTCTACCACTGAGCTACATCCCCAGCCCTTTTAATTAATTTATTTATTTTCTTAATTTTGATACAAGATCTCCCTAAATTGCCCAGGATGGCCTCAAATTTGCAATCCTGTCTCAGCCTCCTGAGTTACTATGATTTGAGGCATGTGTCATCATGCTGCCAAGACTGTTTTAGAAAAAGAAATGTGTATTTGGGGATTAGATTTGAGGATTGCCTGAGGGGTGACTTTAACTTTTTAAAAATAGCCTTATAAAYGATTTGAGTATTTTACAATGAGAATATATTATTTTTTCATTTGAAAAGGCACTCAAGAACCAAACACACACTTGTAATCCCAGGTACTTGGGAGGTGGAGGCAAGAAATTTGCAGGTTTAAGTCCAGCCTCTGTAACTTAGATCCTTTCTCAAAATAAAATAAAAAGGGTTGGAGAGATAGCTTAGTAAGAGAGCACCCCTTGGCTCAACTCCTAGTACCACAAAAGACAACAACAACAACAAYGAAACCCTGACATTCAAGCAAAAATGACATGAATGAACAAGAAAATCAGATCTTTAGGCTGGAGGAGGGAGGGGAGGGAGGTGAAGCTGCCAGCAGGGAGAATAATCTAGAAGTTACTGAGAATACCCAGGAAAGGGATAAACAGGGTTGAGTTCAGCAGTGGCCGAGAAAGGGAAATGAACAGATGGATTTGAGAGAGATTTACTAGGTGAATTCAGTAGCATTTGAAGCCAGAGGATCCTACCTATAGGATGAGGATCCTGCTTGGCTTATTCCTATGCACCCAGGCTGAGTAGCTGAGTGGATGCCTATTAGCATCTATCTACCTGGATAGAAAATGTAGGAGGAGGAGTTCTTGGAAATAGGATGATAATTTCAGTTAGGGTTTATATTAGGTTTGAGGCTATAAAAATAGAAACATCTAAAAGTCAGTTGGCAATGTAAGTTCTGGGCACCAAGGATGTATGACTTTATCATGTATAAATGATTATTTAAACCACAGGTGAGGATAAAATTACTTATAACAATACATGTATATATGTGTATATATTTTCATATTTATATGTTTGTATATATATATTTATATATGTACATTTATATATGTAAATATCTATGTATATGTACACACACACACACACACACACACACATATATATATATATATACACACACACACACACAGTGGGCAGGGAAGGTAGACACTGCATCCACATTTGCCAAAGAGAAAGAGGAACTGAGACCTGTCAAGGAGACTTGGAAGGCGCAGCTAGAGGGAGAGAGAAGCACCATATCACAGAAGCACAGGAGCAGAAGGAGGAACAGCTTTCTGGAGATGCTGCCAGGGGAGATAAGAAGTGAAACAGGACCAGAGCCCGTCAGGTCACTGGGCTGATCTGGAACAGT